CAATATTTCTGGGCTAACTTCCCAAAGCCCATATAACCTGTTACTTTTAAAAAATTTATGCAAGGCCAGGCAGCAAGCTCCGCATGCAGGCGTGTAATCGCCCGCACTTTGGGTAAGCGGGAGGTGGCGAGGATCAGTTGAGGCACCAGGAAGTTCAAGACCAGCCTCGGACAACATATTGAGACGCAGCCCCGCCCACTCATGGAGGCAAAAATTTTTTAAAAAATTAGGTGCCGGTGGCGAGGCATGGGTGGCTCACACCCTGTGAATCGCCCGCAGGCACTTTGGAAGGCTGAGGCGGGTTGGGGGATAGCACCTCTTTGGGGTCAGGAGATTCAAGACGCCAGCCGGCCCAACACAGTGAGAAACGGCGCTGGTCTCTACTAAAAATAAAAATTAGCCCAGCAGTGGGCCACCTGGTGGCTTCCAGCTACTTGGCAAGAGTTTTTGCTTGTTTTTTTTTTTCTTCGTGAGGCAGCGAGACCATCACTTTGACCGTTGGGAGGCAGAACGGTTGCAGTCAGGCCAAGGAATGCACATCCACCTGCACTCGGGCCAAGCCAGAGTGAAGACCTCATCGTTCTCAAAAAAAAAAAAAAAAAATTAGCCAAACCGCGGTGTTCGGTGGTGTATACCTGCTAAGTCCCCAGCCAGCCTCAGCGAAGGGGCACTGAGGTGGGGAAGATCCAGCTTGAGCCTCCGGGAGGCCCTCAGGGGTGAAAAAACTTGATTTTGGCGACCTGGCATCCAATCTGAAGTGATCAGAGCAAGACCCCTGCTGCAAGAAGAACAATAAAATTTAGTGCAAAATGATATGTGTTTCATACGCAACATAATGACCTACATAAACGACTCTAAATGGAAAAAACAGCAAGTGAATCTGTACTGCGGCTCCGCCCGCTATTGGCCCGAACCCAATTTCCTGTAGTCTTTTTCCTCGGGTAATCTGAATTCATGTCGCAAACTTCTTAAAGGGTAATATTTTTTATATGGCCTGTCTATGGGGCGTCAATAAGCGTTTTAGATTTAAATAAAATTTTATTTATTGACTTCTCCCATTATCACTTCGATCAAGCCGATAACCTGGCCTTCAATTAGCTCCTCATGCCTCCACCTTTTCCCTGCCATCTGCATAGTCTTTTTGTTAACTAATTCACCTGCTAGGTAATCATCGACTAATGCTCGTTGACTTCTTTCAGGCTGGCTTAGGGGCCAGTTATGTGGGGCCTTCTAATACAGTCGATCGATCTTTGTGTTTTCAGGAGTATCTAGTAATCTGTTCTTTTCAAAAACATCTTGGCTGCCAGGTGCAGTGGCTCACACCGTGTAAACCTAGTCCCAGGGCCAGGCCTTT